GGAATGGCATGGGATGGGTGACACACTGACCAATGGTGGGGTCGCTGTGAGTTGCCCCCATGGACTTGTAGATACGGCAGGTGAAGAGGGCGAAGGAGGTGGTGTCTGTGACTTGTAGCCTCTGCAGCAGCAACTGGATATGGCAGGGATGGGGCGAACAACGAGACGCAAAGGGACAGGTATCAGAGGGATGGGCAGGTCCTTAGAGGGATGGACAGTGCGAAGGAGGTGGTATCTGTCACTTGCAGCAAGGCCAGAAATGGGACCAGAGGCGTATTCTCTCCCCATCACGAACAGCAGCTCACCTGCATGGCCTCGCTGCTGGGAATGTTCTCTATAGTGTTGAAATTCGTTGGATTCGAAACGCAGCAAGTCTGCTAAGAGTAACGATCTATAGCACTTAGTCTACTAATCTGAAAGTCGAGGGAAGTAGTGAGAAAGTCGCAGAAATACACCAGGATCCAAATTCATGTCGGGAGTGGCAGCAAACCTATAGAACTCGCTTAAGCAAGAGGATCAAGACTGTACAACTTGGAGCAAGTGGTGACAGTGCTGCTGGGAATGTTCTCTAGAGTGTCGTCGCAGAAACACACCGGCACTGACAGGGGTGTGCGTGTGTTATTAGACAGCCAGATACTCAACTTGCCACAGCAGGCGTACTTTCTCCCTTATACCCCAAAGCCCCTCACCTGCATGGCCTCGCCGATGGTGGTGACAGCACTGCTGGGAATGTTTTCCAGAGTGTCGTCGCACAGATACACCGGCACTGACAGGGGTGTGTGAGTAAGCAGCGAGAGCACCTGGCAGGCACACGTGGGGAGGGGAAAGCCCAATGGGGAAGGGTGAGAGGTAGGTTGCAGGGAGAAGAGGATAAGCACAAGTGTTACAGTTTTGAGACGTCTCAAAACGTGGGGGAGGGGGAGGCCCGGCGGGGAAGGGTGAGAGGTAGGTTACCAGGAGAAGAGGATCGGCAAAAGTGTTACAGGGAGTTGTGGGAATGCCAGTGACAAGGATTGCCAAGGAGTGCAAGGAGTTCAAAGGAGTGCCAAGGAGTGCAAGGAGTCCAAAGGAGTGCCAAGGAGTGCAAGGAGTTCAAAGGAGTGCCAAAAAGTACCAAGGAATGTCAAGGAGTGCCAAGGATTGCCAATGAATGAGTACCAACCGTGTGATGCGTACCAACTTCCACCTTCTCAACCTCACTCTCCTCGTCCTGCTCTGCCACACACCTCTCCTCGTCCAGTCCCGTCCACAATTCTCACCTCATCCTGCCCAGGCACACATCTCCTAGGCCCGTGCTTCAGCCCGTGGTCCAGCGCCTTCCACGCAGCCAGCACTGCCTCTCGAATGGCCTCGTCCCCTGCCTCGTCCGCCACGAACCCACCTGTTTCCATCACGCCTCCACTCACCTCGTCCTGCCCTCTCAACCGCACCCACCTCGTCCTGACCCGGAACGCATCTTCTAGGGCCGTGCTTCAGCCCATGATCTAGCGCCTTCCACGCCGCCAGCACGGCCTCTCGAACAGCCTCGTCTCCGGCCTCGTCGGAGACGAGCGAGGAGAAGTACTCTGAGAGCGGCCCCGCGACGGTGGTGGTGGGGGGGAACACGCCCGCACACAGCCGCATCAGCTCCCATACCTTCAGGCACGAGGCTCTGGGGGGAAAGGAGGGGACGAGAGGGGAAGAAAGGGGAAGTGGATGACGAGGTTTGAGGTGATGCAAAAAGCCCTTCCCTAGATTCACCTCCAGCTCCCTGCAAGCAACTACCGCCTCGTCCGAGACGAGTGAGGAGAAGTACTCAGAAGAGAGTGGCCCTGCGACGGTGGTGGTGGGGGGGAACACGCCTCCTCCACTACTCATAAGACGCCTTTCTGTGCGCTTCTGCGACCCACCACCCACTCACTTGTGCGCGTTCCGTTCCATCTCGTCTGCTTCCACAGCTGCACGAACAGCTCATCTCGCAGCGGCGGCTCCTTCCCCAGGTCCAGAAACACACGCGCCACCAGCGCCACCTCCAGCGCGTTACCCGCACCACTAGCAAACTCCTGAACTGAATCAAGAGCAGCTTTTCTGTGAGCGACCACGACCCCCCGGCCACGACCCCCCGCCCACCCACCACCCACCACCCACCACCCACCCACACTCATTCACTCACTTGTACTCGTTCCCCCGCGTCTGCTTCCACAGCTGCAGAAACAGCTCATCGCGCAGCGGCGGCTCCTTCCCCAGGTCCAGAAACACGCGCGCCACCAGCGCCACCTCCTCCGCGCGAGAGAGCATCTTGCCCTCGTGCACGCCCATGAATCGCAACACGTCGTTAAACAGCCGCGTCGCGGGCTCGTGCAAGACGCCGCTTATTCGCAGCATTGCCGTTGGAATGGCATCCTGCGGATAGTGAGAGAGGAGGGGTGGGGGAGGGGAGGTGGGTTCAGGCGACGGAGTGGGGAGGAGGGGACGGGACTTGTGGGAGGATTGACAGGCAAGGCAGCAGTACCAAGAACCTCCTCCGCGCGGGAGAGCATCTTGCCCTCGTGCACGCCCATGAATCGCAACACGTCGTTAAACAGCCGCGTCGCGGGCTCGTGCAAGACGCCGCTCAGCCGCAGCATGGCTGTTGGGATGGCATCCTTGGAGGGGAGGGTGGATGGTGGCCATGGTGGGGTGGTGAGGGTGGGGAGGGCGGGGTTAGAGGGGATGGGGGGGAGTACCCGCAGGGGAGATAGGGGCGGGGGGAGGGGGTCCAGTGGGGCCCACGGGGAGTAGGGGGGCGGGAATCATGGGCAAGATTGACTGAAAAAGCAGCAGGACCAGGAAATCGCTGAATCAGGACCAGCATCGGGACTTCGTCAGCTCAGATGAGCATCTGGCTGAAATGCATGAAACGGTAAATGCATGAAACGGTAAGTGCATGAAACGGTAAATGCATGAAACGGTAAATGCATGAAACGGTAAATGCATGAAACGGTAAATGCATGAACTCGCACCTGCTGAAACGAGAACATGTATCGGACCCGACTAGTACTGCTCCGCCATAGTGATAATCATGAGGCATGGCTTTGCGGCGCTTATCGTTCGGGCGTCGAGAATAGCATATAAGCGTACCTGTTGAAATGAGAACATGTCTCGAACCGTGTACTGCTCCGCCTTGGTGGTACCGGGGCCGACAACGCCAAGCAGTCGTCGCCTGGCGACAGCGGTCGCACGAATGTCCAGCATCGCTGCGACAAATGCCTCCACGTGGCAGATGTCGTACAGCTCCTGCACCGCCTCGAGAGTACCGCCGGGAACCAGCCTGGTCCGAACCAAGACATCGGCAGGGATCGATGCGATTCAATAATACTGTAGAAAATAAACGGTGGGGTGGGTGACTATGGGGAGGCGTAGACGACTACGGACTTCGACAGTCCGGATACTGGCGGTTGTGTGATGAGAAGTCCGAACAACAAAGAAATCCAGCCTGAACAAGAGTAAGCGGTATTGCTAGCAGCTATCTTGACGTCAGGAGGGATAACGATATAATCCTAGCGACATGGAGCAACCAGAGAAGGATGTGAAGGTTGCTGCTCCTTGAACTGCATGAATCCGGAAGAAACTATCTGTGCAGAGCGCACTTTTGACGCCCATCCTCCCAGTGAATTCCTGACGCCGGAGAGTACGCCCACACGAAGAACGAGACCGTCTCAGCATGTGTTATGGGTACTCACATGACGTCTAGAAACGCCTCTTTGTAGTCCATTTCTGGCGCGTCTTTTAAAGATATCGAGCTCTCCATCATGGCTGCTCTTGTCGTCGCCACCACCATTCTAGTTTCGAACTTTACAGGCTAATAATGCAAAGAGCACGCGCTCAGTACGAGACAGGTCTTTGGTCGTAACTTGCTGAACTGGAATCCAACGATTTCTGTTTTCCTGTTCCAGAACCACTTGTGCGCTGCTGCTATTTATTTCTTCCTCAACAACGACGTATTCTAATATTTGCGTCTCGGCGTGAGGAGAGCACAGGACGCCGCGTTCCAAATATTTCGAAGCCTTTCTGCACCAATTCCTTGTAGAATGCGTCTGTGCATAATTCACGATGGAAAAAGAGCTGAGAAGCTGAGAGGGAAGGAGAGGTTTGGTGGCCAGTAATCCCGAGGCCGACATACAACACCAACCCGAGCCAAACCCAGCCAAACCAAGGTTGCCAAATTTCAAGTTCCAAGCCCAAGTGTGTCCGATGATGCTGATTCAGCGACTCGGCCCGGCTCGCCCTGGGAATGATGCACTGATGAAAGAATCTGCGTGTAAACCCTGTACCGTTCTGATTGCCTAGTGCACCACAATGTAACCTCAGTCGTATCAGAAAAGGTCACGCCACCATGACAGTGCCCAACAACACAACCTGTGCGTGTGACCGAGGGGAACATGGGCAGTCTCAAACCAAGTCGCTATGGTAGGCGAGCTAACCAATCCGAAGCCGACTGACAGCAGTTCAGCAACCAGCAGACCACCCTCCCTCATAGAGGCTTTCTGGACGACATTTTCTTGCACCTGGAAATGTTTTCCCGCCACAAATGCATCCGAAGCCGGAGCGCTTCAGCTGTTTGCTCTATGTCGCCGCTTTCGTTTGAGTTGCTGTGGCAAAATGGTCAATGCTTTCGAAAGAATCACATTATCTATCATATGTAAGTGACGCTGTGACTTGAAAAAATATTATTATAAGAAATTTGTGGCAAACAAACACAAACACATGGCCCTTGTGAGGAACACCTTACTAGCATAGCCTAACTACTTGATGAAATTCAAGTTTCAAGTATCTCCCAGGTTCCATTATCTTCAATACCACTTCATCCCCTTGACCTTCCCATCTCAGCCATAAGAAGGGGGTCATTTTCGGAACGAGTGTTATCCTGCAGAAGGTGAGGATAAAAAACAAAGAATAATGGAGGGAGTTGAAGGGAAACGGTGCAATGTGATAGAACAGCAGTTACGAAGCAGATATTTATAAATCTAAGGAAGGACGATTTAACTCACAGTTTCACGGTCACTGTCATTGGCCTTCTCAAAACTTAAGCCACCCGAGGGAGGAGCTGAAATCTATGTTCGGGGCAAATGAAACATGCCAAGGAAACAAAGCAGGACACGTGAGGTTCAGAACTAAAACAAAAGCATTGACTTGAACATGATTGAATATAACAACCTCGAGCATCCATAAAGCACAGATGTAGCACCCCCTAAACAGCCCAATCAGAACCAGCCAAACCTGAAATACAGGCACCAAACCCACCAAAACCACCTGAACCACCTGGGAGCGCACCTGAGCATCTCTGGACTTGGCCTCTTGGATCTGCACGTAGGAGTAGAGAACCATGCCGACCAGCGCAACCAGAATGCCGCCTGCATTGCGCCAGCTGAAGGGGTTGTTGAGCAAGAGGTAGCCCATACCCAGCACCAGACACGTCTTCAGGTGGCCTAGCACCTGAGGGGGGGACAGGGGAGGGGATACATGGAAAAGGGACAAACACAAGCATACATGGTGAGTGGCTTCAAAGTGCCATGTAGTAGTGCGGGTTGTTCAACAACAATGCGAAGCATTGCCAATGAGACGACAATTTGAGTCTCACTCAAAACGAAGGTGCACTTTGGAAGTAAATCTTGGAACCCCTCACAGCCCACCCACTTGGGTTGGGTGTATTGAGGGGATTTTCGCAGCATTAAAAAATGAAAAAAAAAATTCAAAGCCGACAGACTCTAAAAGAGAGGTCCACTCTACAAGTGGGTCACTGTGACAGCGGACCTGAACGCTTTTTCGAGACCACTCACCTGGTATGTGACTGGCGACGTCTTGCCAATGACAAGGAAAGAGCTGAAGTTGACTGCCACTGCAATGAAGCAGGACAGCAGGATGAACGACTGGAGGGTGTGGGATGGATTGGTTGGTGGCAGAAGGAATGGGAGGGAAAGGAAGGGTGAGGTGAGGGTCTGAAAAGAAGAACCAGGTGAAATGGGGGAAAGGGCAAGGCAGGTAAGGTAGATTGGGAAAGGAGCTGCGGTTGACCGTTACTGCGACGAAGCAGGACAGCAGGATGAACGACTGGATGATGTGGGATGGAGGGGTGGGAAGAAAAGGGGGAATGTAGCGTGGAAGGAGAAGGCAGGTGAGAAGGAGAATAAAGGGGATGAGGAGGGGGCCACATTCAAATCCTGACTGAAGACGCGTTGACGAAAGGCCCAAATTGTGACTGAAAAAGACTCGCTGACGAAGCGCCAAAAGCACTCACCAGCACACTCACACCACATAATCAGGTCGTAGCACGCGTGTATCGCACTCATGATGATGTTGAAGGAGTAGTTGTGACTGGTGAGGTAGGCATCCAAACACCCACCGGCACACTCACAACTTGACTAGTAGCACTTGTGTGTCACTCGAACTCACAATGACGTTGAAGGTGTAGTCGAAGGCAAAGACGTTGTGACCCGTGAGGTAGGCGTCCACGAAGGGCCCGGAGAGGATGAGAATGAGCGCCTGGAAGGGCGACGACTGGTACAGCAGCTGCGTGCTGCTCACCTTGTACCCCTTCTGAATCGTGTTGGTCATCTGGGGATGGGGAAGGAAAAAGGATAAGAAACGGGAAGGGACAGGGATGGGAAAGGGGAAGGGGACAGGGAAAAGGGAAGAGGGACGGAAAAGAGACAGGGGAGGAGGAGGAAAGTGAACGGGACGGGGATGGGGATGGGGATGGGGATGGATGGGGATGGGGATGAGGAAGGAGGAGAAAGGGAAGGGGTTTTTTTTAAGCAATGCAAACTACCCAGGCCTGTCAGCTGGTGAAGACAGCAAGCTATCTGATGACACCACCACTTACAATCTGAGAAACGCAGGTGCTGACGATGGCAAGCGCCGCCAGCGCGGTGCCAACGAAATTGAGCTCCAGGTCCGTGACAGTGGCGATGCCCACGCCCAGCAGCAGCAGGCTAGCAGCTCTTTGAGTCAACTAAAAAACATTTCACTTACGATCTGAGCAACGCAGGTGCTGACAATGGCAAGAGCAGCCAGGACCGTGCCAACGAAATTGAGCTCTAAGTCCGTGACTGTGGCGATTCCCACGCCCAGCAGCAGCACTAGTAGGGACGCCTGCACCTGCAGACTGAATGACAACGGCAGGGGGGGAAGGGGTGGTGGGAAGCTTATGAATGAGATGCCTGATGCCCACGCCCAGCAGTAGCACCACTAGGGGCGTCTGCACCTGCAAGCTGACTCACTAAGGGAGAAGGGGGGGTGTGGGGGGGAGAGGAGTGGTGGTGGGCCTCAGATAGGCCTAAGCCTAGAGCAGGAGCACCGGCAGGGACGAATGTACCTGAAGCCTGAACCACAAACGGGGGGAGGCGGGCGCGGAGGGGTGTGGTGGGCTGGGGGACGGACAGCTATATTCTAGGGGGCTCAGTTGTCATGAGGCTTGCACGACGCGCAGAGGCTTGCATCGCAGCGGTGCCCTGAACATGTAACGCGAGAGCAATACAATTTAGGAACACGGAATTCGGATGATGTATGACGCACCCACGCACCTGAATCTCATCTTCAGGAAGAGGATTTGCAGGCAGACCGTGCAAGGGATGATGGCGAGCTTGGCCATCTGCAATGGGAGCAATGGGAACAGCCACGTGAATAAAGAGTGTTTTTGAGACGTCTCAAAAACCGTGCACAGGATGATGGCGAGCGTGGCCATCTGCAATGGGAGCAATGGGAACGGTAACGGCAACGCACCGAAACCGAAACAGACACGTCAATATGTCAGGCGATGACGTGGTGCCAGGATGACGATGCGAGTGCTAAGTGTGAAATGTTTTTATGGGGGAAAGTCGTATAGCAAAACCGGAAGACATTCATGATTATACGCGGCAGAGGATTTCTCGCTGTAACACTTTGTTTCCACCACTTTTGACAAAGCCGATAATTTGCTTGTTCATACGCATGTATTCGGCTGTGAGCGTGTGTGATTGCAAATGAGAAGCGAGGTGAAGGTTTACTGGGGGGAGTGGACTGTAAGAAAATATATGCGAGGTAATAATTTATGCGGTAGAATCGGTAAAAAATGAAGCCCCTTATTGATCGTCACTGAGGGAAAGACGTTACCTGGTTGGAAGCCCGCGGAATTGGATCGAAGCACGCAAAATGGTCAGGCACTTAGCAATGCCGAATACGACCAGCCCTTCGAGATTGTTACGGAAGGAAGAAAAGACGTTACCTGGTAAAATCCAAGGAAATTGAACCCTACTGTCAGGTTAAGGAGGCCGATGGACGCGCCATTGAGCAGGACGACCTTGGGATCATCGAGGAAGGACGAAAGACATTACCTGGTAGAACCCGACGGAATTGAACCCTAGTGTCAGGTTGAGTAGGCCGATGGACGCGCCATTGAGCAAGCCGAACCCGATGACGACCTTAGGGTCGAAAGCCTTGTGCTCGAAGAACCCGATCGTCCGCGCGACGTGCAGCGATAGGAATGTGATCACCAGATGCCAGCTGGATAGTGTTGTCGCTGATCGGTCGCGAAGAGGATTAGGGGATGGAGACAAGGAGGATCAGGAAAAACGATATTAGGTATGACTTGTCGCAGACTGACACTGAATACAGACGATATTGCTGGGAGAATGCGAAAGAGATGTATAGAGAAAGAGAGCAGCGAAGACGGGGGGAAGTAAAAGATGAGACTTATACAGGCTTACCGAAGTTGAAGTGAAACTGGGAAAGCAGCGCTTTATTGCAGATAACGATCGACACTGATGAGACCACTGACAGGGTCAGGGCCCCGATCGTCCCAATATTCGACATCGCTGTGTTCCCTGCTTTCCAAACTCTCCTTAATGCAGGTTCGAAAAAATAGGTCGCTTGAAAGTCCCAGCTTTTGCGGAGCTAAGTTATGGCCGTCTCAACTTCTCGATCGGACGACTTCGTTTCTTCCCTCTGCTGACTCGCATCAACGGATTTTAGCAGCAGGAGCTTCGTCGCCAGGGAATGAACCTTCTCTTCAGCGATGAAGTCAGCAGATCTGCGACCTTGAAACCTCCTGTGCTACTAATTTGCTCACCCAGATCGAAATCTCTGGAAACCAGAATCAAGGTTATGTTATACACTCACAGGAAGGATGTGCCACGTGTTTGTCCACCAGAGTTCAGTGCGGGTCAGTAAGTTCGGAGCCGGTAAAGAACAAACTTACTTCTTATCAGCTGAGACCGCAAAGCACCCAGCGAAACCGTGGTATGTGACGTGATTTGCAAACGATACGCAAGGCTTCAACAACCTGTAATCAACAGTTGCCGTGCCTCGACTGTGCGAAATGTGGCGACCTATGCTCATCATGTTCAGACGCGAGTTACCACTAGAGTGGAGGTGTCATGCCAAAACCACCACAGGGATGTCGTGAATGTGTGACATCAATGAGGACCCAAAGGGGGACACAAACGGAGGACCAGACCATAGACTGACCCGAACCGCCGTTGCCGAGCGTGCCCAATTGGCTTTGTGAGTGGTTTAGATTCACCGAATCGGAGCCGTTGAAACAAAATGTCACCTGAACACCTTGCATTCGAAGCGCAGGGTGCATGTCGCCCAGCTGTGTGGGCCGAGACAACCAGCGGAGGAACTCCGTTCTGGCCCGTTTCAGCAACATCCAAAAAGAATACAAAACAAAACTCTACAAGCTGGATACAAGCTTGAGCAATCTATTCCATAGACCGGCCTATTCTCCGTAACTCTTGTTTGGATTAGTTAGATACCGGTAAGACGCTGTGGCCTAGTGCCCATTTCAGCTCTCAACAAGCTCGCCCGAATCAGAAGTGCGCGTGTGTCTCGTTGGAAGTCATTGCCGGCTGCAAGCGCTCGTTGAAACGTTGCATTGCGCTGATCAGCATGACGAGCGTATAGAATGCCCTTGTGTGAGTCGATCCGCGCCTGGCGTGGAAAACAACGAAGACGAAATGCAAGCAGAAACGAGAAGATCAATACCAGTAAATAAATACAGACAAATAAAATATTATACACAGCGGCACGCACGTCAGCTTTTATGAGCCACCTCCAATGCACCCCCGTCAACTCACCTGCACTTGGTTATCCATGATAAGCGCTGCAAGCTCCTTCTCGAGAGCCGCCACATTCGTGTTAAACGCGAAGGCCATCGTGCGGAGATCAACGGATATGAAGGGCGTGGTGTACTGAATGAGAGCGCGCTGGCGGATCTGCTGGTAGAGTGCTGCCACGTGGTCGTGCAGATGCAGGTCCAGCTCCAGCACTGGGCGCAGCTTGTCCAGGTACGTGAGGCAGGATGCATATCGACTGCAATGAGGGGACCGGGGTGTCAGAAAGGGAGAGAGGAGGGAGGAGACTGAGTGGTCATGCAGATGCAGGTCCAGCTCTGGCACTGGGCGGAGCTTGTCCAGATATTTCAGGAATGATGCGTAGCGGCTGTTGGGGGAAGAACACAAGGGATGGTTGAGACGTAAGGGCAAGTAAGGAGGAGAGTGAGTGGTTGTACAGAAGCAGGTCAAACTCCAGCAGCACTGGGCAGAGCTTCTCCCGAGATTGATGGATATGAAGGGCGTGGTGTACTGAATGAGAGCGCGCTGGCGGATCTGCTGGTAGAGCGCCGCCACGAGGTCGTGCAGATGCAGGTCCAACTCTAGCACTGGGCGCAGCTTGTCCAGATACTTCAGACACGATGCGTAGCGGCTGGTGGAAAGGGAGAGAGGAGGAAAAAGCCAGGGGCTACTGAATGGGAGCGCGCTGGCGAATCTGCTGGTAGAGTGCTGCCACGTGGTCGTGCAGATGCAGGTCCAGCTCCAGCACTGGGCGGAGCTTGTCCAGATATTTCAGGCACGATGCGTAGCGACTGTTGGGGGGAAGTCAAGTAGTTGAGAGGCAAGGGTGAGAAGAGGGGGAGAATGAGTGCAGATGCAGGTCCAGCTCTAGCACTGGGCGCAGCTTGTCCAGATATTTCAGGCACGATGCGTAGCGGCTGGTGGGGAAAAACACAAGGGGTGGTTGACAGACAAGGGTGGTAGGGTGAGAAGAGGAGAAGACTCAGTGGTTGTGCAGATGCAGGTCCAACTCTAGCACGTCGTTGTGACTTTTGAGGCGCCTCAAAAGGCGCTGGCGGATCTGCTGGTAGAGCGCCGCCACGTGGTCGTGCAGATGCAGGTCCAGCTCTAGCACTGGGCGCAGCTTGTTCAGATTCTTGAGACACGACGTGTATCGGCTGGTTTAGAGATACAACAAGGAGTGATGGAGAGACAAGGGTGAAAAGAAGAGAAGATTGAGTGGTCGTGCAGATGCAGGTCCAACTCGAGAACTCCCCTGAGCTTGTCCAGATACTTGAGACACGATGCGTAGCGACTGGACTGCAAGAAGGGAAGGGAGGAGGGGGTGTATAGAGGGAAGGGCGAGAAGAAAAAAAGGTGGATGGGTGGGAGAAAACAAACAAGGAAAGAGCACCAGGGAAGTCGCATATGAGATCCCTGACATGCGGCACGAGCTCAAGGAAGCAAATGAGGTCCGTCCACAGATGCGGAAAACTCTAGAAAAGCGGCCACGGAGACCTCACCTGACCCCCGGCACGAGTTCTAGGAAGTCGAAAAAGCCGTAGTCAAATATGAGAGAGCTCTGAAGAGAAAGGTCAAGCATAGGTGACGAACTAACCTGGCGTAGAAATCGTAGATGAGCTCCCTGACCCCCGGCACGAGCTCTAGGAAGCAAGAGAGATCTGGAAGAACATATTGTTGATAGTCACAGCAGACCAGTGTGAGCAACCACAGAGAACGGACTCACCTGGCGTAGAAGTCGTAGATGAGCTCCCTGACCCCCGGCACGAGCTCTAGGAAGCAAGAGATGCTTGGAAAGACACATTGTTGGTACTAACAGCAGGGCAGCGAGGGCAAGCACAGGTTTATGGACCCACCTGGCGTAGAAGTCGTAGATGAGCTCCCTGACCTCCGGCACGAGCTCTAGGAAGTTGCGGAAGTTGACAGAGTCTATCAGCTTGCTCTGCACACACATGCACAGCGAGAGGAGGGAAAGAAGGGGTGGGGGGGGGTGGGGGGGGGCTAAGCATGTCGAACGGAAGCTCTAGGAAGTTGCGGAAGTTGACAGAGTCTATCAGCTTGCTCTGCACACACATGCACAGTGAGAGGAGGGAAAGAAGGGGGGGGGGGGGGGTGGGGGGGGGGCTAAGCATGTCGAACGGAAGCTTTAGGAAGTTGCGGAAGTTGACAGAGTCTATCAGCTTGCTCTGCACACACATGCACAGCGAGAGGAGGGAAAGAAGGGTGGGGGGGGGGGGTGGGGGGGGGGCTAAGCATGTCGAACGGAAGCTCTAGGAAGTTGCGGAAGTTGACAGAGTCTATCAGCTTGCTCTGCACACACATGCACAGTGAGAGGAGGGAAAGAAGGGGGGGGGGGGGGTGGGGGGGGGGCTAAGCATGTCGAACGGAAGCTCTAGGAAGTTGCGGAAGTTGACAGAGTCTATCAGCTTGCTCTGCACACACATGCACAGTAAGGGAGAACAGGAGTAGACAAGGGAGGAACCAGGAGGAGAGGCGGGAAGGGCGGGTTTGAGCCGCTTGGAAGGTCAACGGAGTACCGGGAGGGAGGAGAAGCATGAATGCAGTGAGCATGAATGCAGTGAGCATGAATGCAGTGAGCATGAATGCAGTGAGCATGAATGCAGTGAGCATGAATGCAGTGAGCATGAATGCAGTGAGCATGAATGCAGTGAGCATGAATGCAGTGAGCATGAATGCAGTGAGCATGAATGCAGTGAGCATGAATGCAGTGAGCATGAATGCAGTGGGCATGAATGCAGTGAGCATGAATGCAGTGAGCATGAATGCAGTGAGCATGAATGCAGTGGGCATGAATGCAGTGGGCATGAATGCAGTGAGCATGAATGCAGTGGGCATGAATGCAGTGGGCATGAATGCAGTGGGCATGAATGCAGTGGGCATGAATGCAGTGAGCATGAATGCAGTGAGCATGAATGCAGTGGGCATGAATGCAGTGAGCATGAATGCAGTGAGCATGAATGCAGTGGGCATGAATGCAGTGAGCATGAATGCAGTGAGCATGAATGCAGTGGGCATGAATGCAGTGGGCATGAATGCAGTGGGCATGAATGCAGTGAGCATGAATGCAGTGAGCATGAATGCAGTGAGCATGAATGCAGTGAGCATGAATGCAGTGAGCATGAATGCAGTGAGCATGAATGCAGTGAGCATGAATGCAGTGAGCATGAATGCAGTGAGCATGAATGCAGTGAGCATGAATGCAGTGAGCATGAATGCAGTGAGCATGAATGCATTGAGCATGAATGCAGTGGGCATGAATGCAGTGAGCATGAATGCAGTGAGCATGAATGGTGAGACGCTGGTGTATGTCACAATGGTATTTGACACCTCAGAATAAACAAGTACCTTGAGTTCTGCACGGTCAAAGGAGGCGGGCGCACAGTGACCCCCATATACTGCCACATCCTGCTTGAGTTGGCAGCACACAGGTGACTTTGAGTCCATTCGAAATTCACAGCCGCAGCACACACACCTTGAGTTCTGCGCGGTCAAAGGAGGCGAGCGCACAGAGACCCCCATAGACCGCCACGTCCTGTGGTGCTATCACCTCAGAGTAGCTGCTTCCCATGTCAAAGCTGGCACTCACAAACTGCCCGTGGAAAGGAGAACATGGGGGAGATAGCAGGGGAGTAGAGAAGAAGACTTTTGAGATGTCTAAAGAGACGTCTCAAACACATGGAAAGGAGAACATGGGGGAAACAGCAGGCGAGTAGAGAAGAAGACTTTTGAGATGTCTGAAGAGACGTCTCAAACACATGGAAAGGAGAACATGGGGGAAATAGCAGGCGAGTAGAGAAGAAGGGAAAAGGGAATGGGGTAAAGGCAAAGGGAATGGGGAAAAGGAAAAGGGAATGGCGTAAAGGGAACGTGACTTGGGAAAAAGGGAAGGGATACGATTCAAGGGAATATCATCTAAGAGCAGCTGCTTCCCATATCACGCACCGCACCCCACCGCACCCTACCGCACCCTACCTTACCGTTCACCACCCACATTCCTTACTGTTCATGTAGTTGCTCACGTTCACAAAATGCCCCACCTCCACGCTCTCCCTTCCCACCCCCCACCTCCACGCTCTCCCTTCCCACCCCCCCACCTCCACGCTCTCCCTTCCCACCCCCCCACCTCCACGCTCTCCCTTCCCACCCCCCCACCTCCACGCTCTCCCTTCCCACCCCCCACCTCCATGCTCTCCCTTCCCACCCCCCACCGCCACGCTCTCCCTTCCCATCCCCCACCTCCACGCTCTCCCTTCCCACCCCCCACCTCCACGCTCTCCCTTCCCACCCCCCCACCTCCATGCTCTCCCTTCCCACCCCCCACCTCCACGCTCTCCCTTCCCACCCCCCACCTCCACGCTCTCCCTTCCCACCCCCCACCTCCACGCTCTCCCTTCCCACCCCCCACCTCCACGCTCTCCCTTCCCACCCCCCCACCTCCACGCTCTCCCTTCCCACCCCCCACCTCCACGCTCTCCCTTCCCACCCCCCCACCTCCACGCTCTCCCTTCCCACCCCCCCCACCTCCACGCTCTCCCTTCCCATCCCCCACCTCCACGCCCTCCCTTCCCACCCCCCCACCTCCACGCTCTCCCTTCCCACCCCCCCACCTCCACGCTCTCCCTTCCCACCCCCCCACCTCCACGCTCTCCCTTCCCACCCCCCCACCTCCACGCTCTCCCTTCCCACCCCCCACCTCCACGCTCTCCCTTCCCACCCCCCACCTCCACGCTCTCCCTTCCCACCCCCCACCTCCACGCTCTCCCTTCCCACCCCCCACCTCCACGCTCTCCCTTCCCACCCCCCACCTCCACGCTCTCCCTTCCCACCCCCCCACCTCCACGCTCTCCCTTCCCACCCCCCCCACCTCCACGCTCTCCCTTCCCACCCCCCACCTCCACGCTCTCCCTTCCCACCCCCCCACCTCCACGCCCTCCCTTCCCACCCCCCCACCTCCACGCTCTCCCTTCCCACCCCCCCACCTCCACGCTCTCCCTTCCCACCCCCCCACCTCCACGCTCTCCCTTCCCACCCCCCCACCTCCACGCTCTCCCTTCCCATCCCCCACCTCCACGCTCTCCCTTCCCACCCCCCACCTCCACGCTCTCCCTTCCCACCCCCCCACCTCCATGCTCTCCCTTCCCACCCCCCACCTCCACGCTCTCCCTTCCCACCCCCCACCTCCACGCTCTCCCTTCCCACCCCCCACCTCCACGCTCTCCCTTCCCACCCCCCACCTCCACGCTCTCCCTTCCCACCCCCCCACCTCCACGCTCTCCCTTCCCACCCCCCACCTCCACGCTCTCCCTTCCCACCCCCCCACCTCCACGCTCTCCCTTCCCACCCCCCCACCTCCACGCTCTCCCTTCCCACCCCCCCACCTCCACGCTCTCCCTTCCCACCCCCCACCTCCACGCTCTCCCTTCCCACCCCCCACCGCCACGCTCTCCCTTCCCATCCCCCACCTCCACGCTCTCCCTTCCCACCCCCCACCTCCACGCTCTCCCTTCCCACCCCCCCACCTCCATGCTCTCCCTTCCCACCCCCCACCTCCACGCTCTCCCTTCCCACCCCCCACCTCCACGCTCTCCCTTCCCACCCCCCACCTCCACGCTCTCCCTTCCCACCCCCCACCTCCACGCTCTCCCTTCCCACCCCCCCACCTCCACGCTCTCCCTTCCCACCCCCCACCTCCACGCTCTCCCTTCCCACCCCCCCACCTCCACGCTCTCCCTTCCCACCCCCCACCTCCACGCTCTCCCTTCCCACCCCCCACCTCCACGCTCTCCCTTCCCACCCCCCCACCTCCACGCTCTCCCTTCCCACCCCCCCACCTCCACGCTCTCCCTTCCCACCCCCCCACCTCCACGCTCTCCCTTCCCACCCCCCCACCTCCACGCTCTCCCTTCCCACCCCCCCACCTCCACGCTCTCCCTTCCCACCCCCCCACCTCCACGCTCTCCCTTCCCACCCCCCCCACCTCCACGCTCTCCCTTCCCACCCCCCCACCTCCACGCTCTCCCTTCCCACCCCCCCACCTCCACGCTCTCCCTTCCCACCCTCCACCTCCACGCTCTCCCTTCCCACCCCCCACCTCCACGCTCTCCCTTCCCACCCCCCCACCTCCACGCTCTCCCTTCCCACCCCCCCACCTCCACGCTCTCCCTTCCCACCCCCCCACCTCCACGCCCTCCCTTCCCATCCCCCACCTCCACGCCCTCCCTTCCCACCCCCCCACCTCCACGCTCTCCCTTCCCACCCCCCCACCTCCACGCTCTCCCTTCCCACCCCCCCACCTCCACGCTCTCCCTTCCCACCCCCCCACCTCCACGCTCTCCCTTCCCACCCCCCACCTCCACGCTCTCCCTTCCCACCCCCCACCTCCACGCTCTCCCTTCCCACCCCCCACCTCCACGCTCTCCCTTCCCACCCCCCACCTCCACGCTCTCCCTTCCCTCTCCCCACCTTCCTGTTTTCAACCCATCTTGCTGTTTTCAGCCCGCATGCCCATCACGCCCATGTACCTTCCTAGCAGCAGCCTTGTATTTCCACCCCTCCAGGCTGGCGAGCCCAGCAGCGCTCCTGAGCTTGGCCAGCACCGGGGGGTCCGTCATGCCCCTCCCCCTCTCTGTTGGCTGGTTCCGCTCCCCCCAGTGTGCTCTTGCACTACCCTGCCTTCCAAACACCGCCCCACCTTCCACTTTATCTGCTACCCACCTTCCACTTTATCTGCTACCCACCTTCCACTTTATCTGCTACCCACCTTCCACTTTATCTGCTACCCACCTTCCACTTTATCTGCTACCCACCTTCCACTTTATCTGCTACCCACCTTCCTAGCAGCAGCCTTGTACATGCAGGCTTGCTGTTTTCGGCCCCGATCCCTCTCACCACCATACCTTCCTCGCAGCACCCTTGAATTTCCGGCCTTCCAGGCTTGCCAGCCCAGCAGCACTCCTGAGCTTGGCCAGCACGACCGGGTCCGTCATGGCCCGCTCAGCCTTCTGCACGTAGTTGTTCACGTTGACAAAGTGCCCCAGCTCTACGCACCCCCTTCCCTCTCCCCACCACCACGCACTCCCCTCACTCTCCCCTTTCCCCTTCTCCACCTTCCTGTTGTCAACGCACTGCCTGCCTTCAACGCACTGCCTGCCTTCAACGCACTGCCTCCCTTCAACCCACCTTCCTGGTGTTGGCCTGCATTCCCATTCACCCCCATTTACCTTCCTGGCAGCAGCCTTGTACTTTCTCCCCTCCAAACTCGCAAGCCCAGCGGCGCTCCTCAGTTTCGCCAGCACGATGGGGTCCGTCATGCCTCTCTCCGCCTTCTGCACATAGTTGCTCACGTTCACAAAGTGCCCCAGCTCCACACTCGCGACAATAACGTTGAGGCACATGGCGATGGTGTGCTTGGACGTGATGCAGTAGTCGCGCGTGCGCACGTAGCACCGGAAGGCCTGCTGGAGGTCCCCTCGGGAGTAGAAGAAATCCCCTAGGTCGTTGTACCCCATGCGGATCGACTCCTTTATCAGGTTCGTCTGTAGCGGGTACGCAGGGAGAGGGGAGGACGGAAGGGCAGGAGAGGGGAGGACGGAAGGGCAGGAAAGGGGAGAGCGGAAGGGCAGGAGAGGGGGGGCCGGAAGGGCAGGAGAGGGGAGGAAGGAAGGGCAGGAGAAGGAAGGGGGAAGGGAAGGGTGGAGGGAAGGGGGGTTGCACCAATACGGATAAACTCCAATATCAAGTTCGTCTGTAGCGCGGATGATGGGGAGGGAGGTGTTACCCGTTACATGGTAAGACTCCCCTGTTACTAGGTGTCACCCATCGTCAGGTTTGATGTCAGCTGGAAGCTGGTAGCAGAGAAGTCTTGCCCAGCTCACCTCTGCAGCACAACCTCATCCCTGCAGAATGTCCGCGCCATACCTTGTAACCGTTTAACTCCATCTCCAGCTTCTCCTGCTTCTGCACGGCGCGTCGCTCCACCGAATCCACCCACTCCTGGTCCAGCTCGTACTTAGGTCCTAGGCGACCCGCGATCTTCGCAATGACCTCCTTGTACGCCGCGTTGTTCTCGCCGCGCTTTAACTCGTCCGCCGCCATCCGCAGCGCCTCGAGCTCCATCGCGGTCTGGCCTATCGCGGCGCACCGCTCCGCGATGAATCGCAGCCGTACGATGCGCGTGTGGCCAGAATAATTCGCCGCGTACGACTCCAGATCCATTATCTGCTCCTCGCCCGCCGCTCCCGCCGCGGAAGCCGGCGAGGCAGACACTCCGCCGGCAGATGCGCCAGCGGAAGGGTTGGTGTTGAAGGGAGGAGTGTCAGAGCCAGACGCGCCGACAGGTGGGTTCTGACGCGGAGGCGGTGTGGCTGGAATCCCGGATTCCGACGCCATGAGGATCCTGGAGTTAAGGCCCGGCAATCGTTTGAGTCAATGTGTTTTGAACCGAATAGAATGACAATCGAGACGAAAATTTTGCAGCAGGAGTATGACGAATGGCGACGAGCGAGCCGAGGAACCCAAGACGCGAGGCTGTTGCGCAACACTCGCAGCTGCAGAAGCTAACGAGACATGGACGGGGAGAACTGTTTCTAAGGCGATGTCAGGTTGCACATTTCTCGCACATTTCCAGTTCTTGTATCGTGAATCAACAGTTCTTCACGTTTTCAAAGGTGACCGTTTTGTACCGTTATAAAACGAAGTTGACCGCAGTGACCGTAAAGAAAGTTGTACAACCTGACATCGTGGGAATTCCCGTTTACATGGCCAAACAAAAGGGAATAGAGCACAAATTATATTTCAATACAGACATACGGTAATGATATTAGCAATGCGTGCAAGGACACAGGCAGGGCGTGTGTGTCTAAATGCGGATATTTGATAAGTCTGAACTCACATGGTAAACATCTACAATGGTATCCGAAAGTGGTTAGTTGATTACAAAGAATCTTGCTACGAAAGTGCCTGTGGCGGGTATGATTCGCCTTCAGTTGGTGCCCAATCCAGGGACCACATTGCCAGCCATCTCCCTCGAGATCAAACCAATTTCAATAACAGAACGGTCACTGACTGATGGTGGTTTGTGAAAGTTTTCGGGTTACTCTTCGGCTCGCCTGCGGTAGCCTGACAAATTCTGGATAGTTTGACATGCGTAGGAACGCGGCTAGCTGCAGGAACATGCTGGTTTAGTGACACCGACTCAACCTGAATCCTTAGGTCGCGGAACCGCGAGAAAGGGGAACTGGGTTCAACTAATAGGGAACTGGGACTTGCACGGCGCAGGCCAAGGGTTGGAGAAAGGAGGGTCGGAGAAGGGAGGGTGGGAAATAATACGTTCGGGGAGGAGAGGGTCGTGTTTTGAGTTGACTCAAAACACGAGAAGTGCTTTTCAGAGATGGACGCGGCTCATGCCGCCGAGACTCCGGAGGTCCGTGGATCTGGTTGAGCCTTGAGTTCAAATTCGCCATGAGTACATTTTGCCTCGTCCTGCCGTCGCTTGAATGATGTAGTGTAGATCCACTCCGTCGTTGCAGCGCTTCGACTTGACAAGCCATTGTGAGCCGAGGCTGTTTCTTACCCGCTACGCTCGTCCTGTCGCATCTTGACCGTACAATGGTTCCGCTGAGCCATCATAGCCGTCCGTCCACTTTGCGTGTGTGAAAACCACCAGGTTCTGGCACATTTCCACGTGGACGAGAACACAGGCCTCACCGATACTCAGGTGGAGCACAATCGAAGCATCTACGGACGGAATGGTGAGTTCCAGTCATTCTGTCCCCGTTGTAAGCCCACATTTTACCGTCTCGCCACAAAAGCTTCCCCTGCCCAATTGCTGATTGCGTTCTCAGTCCTGTTTACTGATCGACTTTTTTTTTGTGTGTGTTCGTGTGTCCCTGTTTTGTTGTGGTATGTCCGTGGGGGTGGTGGACTCTGGGAACAATGCTGGCCTCGACCCGCCGCAGAGGCCCCCAAGGAAGAAGGTGAGAATCCCCTGCCTGCCGTGCCAGTCAACTCCCATCACCCCTAGTTAGTTTAGTCACTATGTTTCTGGGAAGACCCATGTTCCTCATTCGTGTTCCATGATCTGCCGTCCATCAGCCATCATCCACCAGCCAACAGCCATGGTCAATGAGTATTGTCCAAAAGAAGCCATGACAACACATGTCCCCACCCACCTATCCCCTCCCCACTCACACCTGTCCCCACCTATCCTCACTCACCTGTCCCAACCGTTTACCGCCTATCACCACCTGTCCATCTGTCACCACTTATCACCACCTGTCACCGCCGGTCCATCTGTCACCACTGATCACCACCTGTCACCACCACACCAGGCACGCCCTTCTGGAAGCTGGTGCTGAAGCAGTTTGACGACCTGCTGGTGAAGATCCTCCTCGTCTCTGCAGTCGTCTCCTTCCTCCTCGCCCTCGCCAACGGGGAGAGCGGCTGGCACGCCTTCGTCGAACCCGCTGTAAGCCCAACGTTGCCCTCATGCCTTCGTCCTCCTGGTCTCTTCTCCGCCGTCGTCTTTTTCCTCCTCGCCCTTGCCAATGGAAAGAGCGGCTGGCACGCCTTCGTCGAGCCCGCTGTAAGCCCATTGCCGCCCTCAAAGCCTCAGGTACGCCGTCATGCTGAAGCTGGTGTAAGCTCAGAGCGCTGCTTTTACCACAAGGTTCATACAGCTTAAGCACTTCCTTCCCTGTTCTCTTCCTTCCCTTCCCCCCCACCCCTTCCCCTTTCTCTTGTCGCAGGTCATCCTCCTCATTCTCATTGCCAACGCCACTGTTGGGGTCGTCACAGAGACCAACGCAGAGAAGGCATTAGAGGTGTGTACACGCCTTGCTGGTATGGCTCCCCGTTGTAATACGTTCACACTGCGCTAGTCACTGTGTGTCTCTCAAGTGCAACCGACGTGTTAAAAAATACTCGCATTTTGAACCATGGTTCTCCGAACTATGATGTGTGGTAGTGAGACGCCTCGCGAAATGAATTCCAAAACTCCCGTCTTCAGTTCACAATGTTCGACCATCACTTCCATTCTAAACGCTTCCTCACACCTTTCTTACACCCCGTACCACTCACTCACACCCCTCTCGTGTTTCTCACCAGGAACTGAAGGCATATCAAGCTGATGTTGCCACTGTGCTGCGCAACGGTGGGTAAAAGGTAGAGAGCGTAATTTAGACCCAACAGGATGTGAGTAAGTTAGTGAGAGTGAGAGTGTGGAAATAAGCGTGGGTACATGTGTGTGTGAGTCTGAGCTTGAAAGTGAGTCAGCTCGAGTGACATGTGAGCATCACCAGGAGAAAACCTTCAAGTGCAAGCAATTGAACTCGAGCGATAGTGACTGTCCGGCCAGCCTACAGCCATACACTTTCCCCCTTCCTCCCTCCACCTCCCGCTCCTTGCTTCACTCCAGCTACCTTGAAAATCTCTAAGCCTTCACTTCACTCTTTTCCTGTCCTCCCCCAGAATTTAATCTACACCGTTTTTGTTTCCCCATTCTTCCCAATTCCCTGTTTTTCCATCGCCATGCACAAGCAGGCAGGCTAGCGATCATCCCAGCTGCAGAGCTGGTTCCTGGCGACATTGTTGAGGTGTCAGGTGCGTGCGGGCCTTGGAGAGGAGACCAATCAAAAGTAGGTTTCTGAGTCGACTCAAGGATGCAGGCAGGCTGGCGATCATCCCAGCTGCAGAGCTGGTTCCTGGCGACATTGTTGAGGTGCCAGGTGCGTGCGGGCCTTGGAGAGGAGACCAATCAAAAGTAGGTTTCTGAGTCGACTCAAGGATGCAGGCAGGCTGGCGATCATCCCAGCTGCAGAGCTGTTTCCTGGCGACATTGTTGAGGTGTCAGGTGCGTGCGGGCCTTGGAGAGGAGACCAATCAAAAGTAGGTTTCTGAGTCGACTCAAGGATGCAGGCAGGCTGGCGATCATCCCAGCTGCAGAGCTGGTTCCTGGCCACATTGTTGAGGTGTCAGGTGCGGGCTACACGTTCTAAAGAAGTCAAGTGCATCGGATTTCTTAGGATCGAGATTCATCGCGGAGTAGCTGCAATGCAAACCTGTAGTAATCACTTCAGCAATAGGATCAAGACTGTGAAACTTTTGAGGCGCCTCAAAAGTCGTCAATAGGATCAAGACTGTGAAACTTTTGAGGCGCCTCAAAAGTGGGATCAAGACTGTGAAACTTATGAGGCGCCTCAAAAGTCGTCAATAGGATCAAGACTGTGACACTTGCTCCCAGAAATTCAAAAATATCTCAAAACCTTCAAACTCAAGAGAACCCTTATTCGCAAACTAGTTTCGGCCTTCGGGACAGAACCCCGCTAGGCCTTCATCGGGCTAAAGAAGTCAAGTGCATCTGATTTCTGAGCCTCTCACACTGTTGCAACTGGCTGGCCCTTGGCTGAGTCACTTTGGCTGGATCATCTTTCCTAATCTGCCTTGGCTGACCCACCTTGGCTGAATCGCCTGACTGCTCTGTCTGTATCTATCTCCTTATCTGCTGTGTGTGGGTGGCAGTGGGTGGCAAAGTGCCTGCAGATCTCAGGGTGCTCTCCCTGCTAAGCACACAGCTCAGAGCGGACCAATCCATCCTCACAGGTAGGTTCTTGGTGATGTGAAGGTGCCAGGTGAGGAAAAGGTGCCAGGTGAGGAAAACGTGCCAGGTGAGGAAAACGTGCCAGGTGAGGAAAACGTGCCAGGTGAGGAAACGGTGCCAGGTAGCATTGTTGTTGTTTGCTCGACTCAATGAACGGCATGGTGTCTGTTTGAGTTCATCCAAGACTTCAAGTAGATGCCTTCTCTTGCTCCATGCCTGCACCACCAATGTGTGTTTCGTAACAACCATGCCTGGCAGGGGAGAGTGGCTCCGTGTCAAAGACAAAACGGGCCACTCGGTCAGCAGCGGCAGTCTATCAAGACAAGACCTGCATCCTCTTCTCTGTACGTCCTCTCAACCTTCACCCCTTCGAGTAATGCGGCAATTTCTGAGTCGCCTCAAAAGTTGTCTCATCACATTCACAACCAGAGCTGCACACAGGGTCAGCAGTGGCAGTCTATCAAGACAAGATCTGCATCCTCTTCTCCGTACGTCCTCTCTCGTGTTATCAACCCCCCGCCCGCTATCTCATCGACCAGTTTTCCTGCCCATCTTTCTCTGCAGATGCGGATGCCCACCTGCTCAGGCAGGAGTTTTGAGACAGTTTCAAAACTCGATTCTATCACCTGTTTCCCTCTCCGCTCCCACACCCTCAGGGCACCGTGGTGACGGTGGGGAGGGTGCGGGCCATTGTTATCGCCACAGGAGGGAGGACTGCCATTGGGAAAATCCGTGATGCGATATCGGAGTCAGCAGATGTGAGTGTTATATCGAGTCAGCACAAGCATATGTTATCTCAGTAGGTACATATGAGGGCACACCACTGCAGCCTTATCCACTCTCCAGACCTGCCTTACTATAAGTCATATGTTTAATCACCTGCCTTCCATGCATTGGTTCAAGAACCAGCACCTCTCTCTTCCCCACCCCCCCGTCCCACAGTCCCCCTGTCCCAATTTCCCTCCCATTCCCCCATCCCCCGCTTTCCCCGTTACCCCCTTGTCTCCCTCTTCCCCAATTCCCCTGTTCCCCCACATCTCCTCCCCACCCCCCACCCGGCCCCCCTCCCCTCGTCCCACCTGTACCCCATACCTGCACGCGCCCCTCCCATGGTTCACCAGGAAATAAATGAATCCTCTGAAACGACTTTTGAGGCGCCTCAAAAACCTGCACGCGCCCCTCCCATGGTTCACCAGGAAATAAATGAATCCTCTGAAACGCAAGCTGGACGAGTTTGGCACTTTCCTCTGAGGCGCCTAAAAAACAGTCCCCTCCTCCTTGTCCCTTTGGCACCCCATATTCCACCACAACCCCCCTTTTGCCTCTGTGTTGTGTTCCATCAGGAAATGACTCCTCTGAAGCGCAAACTGGACGAGTTTGGCACCTTCCTCTCCAAGGTACGTGCTGCACTGCACCTTTACTGTCTTATTTGCTTATCTGAGCCAAACCTGTTCGAGTCAAAACAAGAGATGACATTGAGCTAACCTGAAAGAGATGACATTGAGCTAACCTGAAAGAGATGACATTGAGCTAACCTGAAAGAGATGACATTGAGCTAACCTGAAAGAGATGATGTTGAGCTAACCTGAAAGAGATGACATTGAGCTAACCTGAAAGAGATGACATTGAGCTAACCTGAAAGAGATGATGTTGAGCTAACCTGAAAGAGATGATGTTGAGCTAACCTGAAAGAGATGATGTTGAGCTAACCTGAAAGCAACTCGTGCTTTCTGCCTCGCCTCGCCTCTCATCCTCGCTGTTCTCATTACCCTGTGTGCCCTCTATGCAGGCCATAGCTGTAGCGTGCATTCTCGTGTGGGTGATCAACATCAGAAACTTCCAGGATCCTGCGCACGGTGGTGTCATTCGAGGCGCTATCTACTATTTCAAGGTCATCACCTACAAGCCCCATACTCTTGCCCAACTTAGATCCGACCTTTACTGTGCAATTTTTCTGATCTTATCAAAATCTCTGCCTGTGTTTTTGTGAGTATATGGCTGGCTGCGTGCCATACGTGCGGCCAGGCCAGACGTATTTGACACTTGCAAGAAAACAGTAACCTTGCCATAAATATCAAAGAGCGTGTTATTGCTTCCTCTCCTCCCCCCCCCCTTGCAACAGATTGCCGTTGCTCTAGCCGTGGCCGCCATACCTGAAGGCCTTCCAGCAGTCGTGACCACGTGAGTGCCCTTTTTCCCATCTCGGTGCTTCCCCTTTCCTTGCATATTTGCGGGGTAGAATTTCTGGCTCCCCACTAGCTACCAGCCTATAATGCATCCATCACATGCCATTTTCTCCCCCTCTTGAGGCGCCTCAAAAGTCTAGCTACCAGCCTCTAATGCATCCGCCACATGCCATTTTCTCCCCCTCCCTATCCCTCCCTCTCCGTTCCTCCCTCTCTCACTCTCCTATCACCCCCTTTTTTCGATACATCCCCCCCTGCAGCTGTATGGCGCTGGGAACAAAGAAGATGGCGCGGCTGAACGCCATCGTGCGCTCGCTGCATTCCGTAGAGACCCTCGGGTGCACACACATTACACCACACCACACCACACCACACCACAGCCTACTCATTTATCGTGCTCTTGTCACCCTGTGTCCATCCGTCTCCCACCTCCAGGTGTCTAGCCTTGGGCACAAAGAAGATGGCGCGGCTGAACGCCATCGTGCGATCGCTGCCCTCCGTGGAGACTCTTGGATGCACCACTGTCATCTGCAGTGACAAGACGGGCACTCTCACCACCAACATGATGTCTGTTAACAAGGTGCGTGTGCGCGCGCGCGCGCATGTGTGTGTGTCTGTGTATTCACTCGCTGCCATCCGTAGAGACCCTTGGGTGCACCACTGTCATCTGCACTGACAAGACGGGCACTCTCACCACCAACATGATGTCTGTTAACAAGGTGCGTGTGCGCGCGCGCGCGCGCATGTGTGTGTGTCTGTGTATTCACTCGCTGCCATCCGTAGAGACCCTTGGGTGCACCACTGTCATCTGCAGTGACAAGACGGGCACTCTCACCACCAACATGATGTCTGTTAACAAGGTGCATGAGTGTGTGCTGCTGCTGGCTTGGCTTTACATGTATGTATGTATGTGTCTATGTGCATGTTGTTAGAAATAGTCAGTCAACACTTTGTACTATATTCTATATCGGTTAGGTTACTTTGTAGGTTGGGTGTAGATTTGTAATCCCAACCCTATCTGGTTGGGACTCCCTCGTAATCCTGCAAATCTGCCAACTCACCAATTGGAGATTTGCTAGGATTCCCATCCCATCCTTTCCCTAGCTTTGCTCAACCCAACCCTGTTTGTACTTAAAGCCTAGTGCCTTCCTTATCAAGCAATCAGTTCAGTTCCAATTCTATCATGGTATCAGAGCTAGTAAATTCCGCTCACGCGGAATCCGATCCTTGGCGTCCCGATGGTTCTCTCCTTTTAGGCTATGCCTATTTCGGTTCCCGGCTCCTACGCTTAGCGTTTTTCAGAAACTTCACATCGTCGCTCCGGTCAACCGCGCATTCGGCTTCCTTCATCGCGCATCTCGTTTTTCAACGGCGACATTCTCAGCTTTCGACTTCCTTCATCGTAAGCTTCTGGTTTTTATATCTCCGTGGCAATTTTCGCATCTTCTTAACTTCGAACAGGTTTTCAGCGGCGCAGCGGAACAGGTCCAGCGGCGCAGCGGAACAGGTTTTCAGCGGCGCAGCGGAACAGGTCCAGCGGCGCAGCGGAACAGGTTTTTAGCGGCGCAGCGGAACAGGTCCAGCGGCGCAGCGGAACAGGTTTTCAGCGGCGCAGCGGAACAGGTTCAGCGGCGCAGCGGAACAGGTTCAGCGGCGCAGCGGAACAGGTTCAGCGGCGCAGCAGAACAGGTTCAGCGGCGCAGCAGAACAGGTTCAGCGGCGCAGCAGAACAGGTCCAGCGGCGCAGCAGAACAGGTCAGCGGCGCAGCAGAACAGGTCAGCGGCGCAGCAGAGAAGCGGAACAGGGGCAGCAGCGAAGCAGAACAGGGGGCATTGGCGAAGCAGTATATCAGGGTATAGTACGGGCATTCTATTGCCAAAATCGCGTTTCGAACTTCCTCAATTTCCAAAATCACCCGAACTCCGCTCCGCTTCGCTCCGCTACGTATCGGAGACTTTAGCGCTGCGCTCCGCGCGAAATGGCAACTTCAACTTCCACTCTCGTCGGAAACCTCATCATCCTTAACCTCGCTCCCAACGGCACGAGCACCAATTTCGGGGAGTGGTGCTATGGAGTGGAGAAGCACCTCCTTAGCTCGGAGCTCAAGGGGATTTGCCTCAAGGACATCCTCCTCAATCGCGGCAAGGGGAAGATGCCTCTCCCTCCCGATCCTCTCGGCGAAGGCGCCACTGCCACAGCCAAGCTTGCTTTCGACGCTAAAACCACCAAGTATGAGACGGACTTCAGTCTCTGGGAGCAGGCGGATGCGGCAGTGATTAGGGTTTTCATCACCACCACCCCAGTCGAGTTAGTCAAGTCCTACCGCACCTTCCGCTCTGCGCATGACATTTGGAAGTACCTCCAAGATCGCTTTGATGACAAAACTGCCGTGGGAGTTGCAATCCTCATTCCTCGCATGTTCCAAATCCGCCTTGAGGAATGCCCGGGCATGGCAGACTACATCTCTGAAATCTGCAACATCCATGAGGAGCTCAAGGACATTGGGATCACCTTCCCCGAACAGGCACCTGCTGCTGGGCTTCTCGTCGGACTCACCCCGGCCTACAACGTCACCAGTTCCATGCTCAAGCAGCTCCCCACCAAGGAACTCACCTTCGAGAAAGTCGCTTCGGCCCTTCTCTCTGCCGAAAAGGACCTTGCAGCCCAGGCATCCGTCAATGCTGTGCGCTACTCCCCTGGCATCCCATTTCGTTCCCAGCAGGGCCAGAGGCGCAACTCCTTTCCCCCATGCCAGTACCTCATTAGGAAGGGTCCACGTGCGGGGCAGAAATGCAACGGCACCAACCACCCTGAGGCAACTTGCTTCAAGAAGCGAGATGACGAGTGGTATGACGTCCACGGTGTCTCCAAGGACAAGTGCCCTCCCAACTGGGCACCACCCCGTCGCGTGAACCAGGTCGAGGCAGTGGAGGAACCTGCTCAGGCATTTGCTAGTGCCCCATCTGATGTTCGCCTTAACCTGTTTTTCTCTGGTGCTGGTCTTCTTAATGAGAAGGGGTCGCAGTACATCGGTGTTTCAACCACACAGGGAATTGAGTTCATACTAGACAGTGGTGCCACCCACACAGTGCTTAAAGACCAAACTGCCTTCGTTCCCTACCAGGCTCCCACCTCACTCCTTGGAGCCGATTCTAGCTTCTCCATCCAATGCCATGGGTCCTCCACAGTTTCCTGTCCAACTTTCCCATCCGGCACAGTCACTGGCATCTGTGCCCCTACCCTCCGCTACAACCTTCTTGCACAGCGGGAAATCCAACACGCAGGCGTGATCACCATCTTTCCCAATGATGTTGACTACTGTGACATGTTTGACGCCAAAACCGGACTCCATCTTGCCCGCTTCACCCTCAACTCCAACAACCTGTACACACTAGTTGTACCTCCCGTTCAAACATGCTCCCTCACCAACCTTCCGCTTCCATCCTCAGACTCCCCCTCATGTCACTGCCGCCTCCTCAATGACAAGACTATGCTATTTCATAACCGCCTCGGCCACATCAACTTCCGCGCACTTTCAGACCTTGCCACCAAACAACTCCTTCATGGGCTGCCCGCCTCACTTCCACAACCCCCCTCTCTTTCTGGACCACCTTGCCTTGACTGTGCACAGAGCAAGCTTCGGGAACAGCCCCATCCTCCCACTGAGTCCACCTCTACCGCACCTCTTGATCGCGTACACATGGACCTTTGGGGTCCAGCTCCTGTTCGTTCCTGTGGCGGACACTTCTACTTCCTTGTCATCGTTGATGACTATTCCCGCTATGTGTCCGTTCACCTTCTCACCGCCAAGTCTGAAGCCCCAGCCATTATCATGGAATGGGCAAGGCAGGCTCATTCACACTTCAAAACCAAAATCAAGATTCTTCACTCTGACGGTGGCGGTGAATTCCGCAACAACACTCTCAAAGCTTTCTGCTCTACTGAGGGTATTCGTCAGACCTTCACCCTCCCAGACAGCCCTCAACAGAACGGTGTTGCTGAGAGCCGAAACCGCATCCTGGTGCAGATTGCTCGCTGCCTCCTCACTCATGCTTCCGCCCCTCCCTCTCTTTGGGGATACGCCATGCTCCATGCTGCCGCCCTCCACAATCTCCATCCTCATCCTCACCACACCCACTCCACCCCCGCAGAGCTGTGGACGGGTCAAAAGCCGTCCGTCCGCCCTCTTCGTGTATGGGGGTGCACTTCCTATGTTCTCCTCAACTCCCAAGCCCGTCGTGCAGCTGGCGGCAAGCTTGCTCCGAATACAATCACGTGCGTGTACCTCGGGCACAACTCGGACTCGCCAGACTACCTCTTCCTCCATCCTACCACCAACAAACTTTATCGCAGCCGAGATGTTTTCTTCGATGAATCCCACCCGTTCTACCCCTCCTCCACAGTTTCTCCTTCTCCTCCGCCTCCTTCTCTTACTTGGGCTGACTTTGACAGCCTTCCTCCTGCCACCACTCCATCTCCTCCTCTTCCTGCTCCCTCCACAGTTTCCGACCCCCCGTCACCCGCTTCCCCTTCCAGCACCACGCAGTCTCCCCCGCTCCTTCCCGCCCCCGAGCCCATTCCTCTCAAAACCTACCAACGCCGTCCTCCTGCTGCTGCTCCTCCTCCTGATCCAGCTCCTCCTCCTGATCCAGCTCCTGCTCCTGATCCAGCTGCTGTTCCTGATGCTGCCACTACACCTGCTGCTTCTCCCCCTCCAGCTCCGCCTCCCTCCCCCATCGCTGGTCGCACCCGCTCGCGCAAAGCTCCCAAGCCTCTTTCCCTTTCCATTCGTGTCTCTCTCAATCCTCCTCCTGTCGGGGGTGATTATTCGCTCATGCCCTCCCTTCTTGAGGACAGACATGAGGAGTTGATTGAGATTGACTCAGCCATACACGCACTCTGCTCCCTCTTTCCAGATATCGCAGAATCTCCCACCCTCGACTTCTCGGACAACCCCTCCATCCCCACACCTCTCACCTATGCTGAAGCAGTTTCTGGTCCTCACGCCGCTCAATGGCTAGGGGCCATTTTCGCAGAGTGTGAGGCCTTCATTCACACAGGAACTTTCACAGATGTCTCTCCTCCCTCCGGCGTCAACATTGTGAAGGGAAAATGGGTTTTCCGGGTGAAACAACTTCCAGGCGAATTTCTCGTCTTCAAAGCCCGGTACTGTGCCAAGGGATTTACCCAAAAGCATGGACTGGACTTCTTTGAGACATTCTCTCCCACCGCCAAACCTCCCACACTGCGCACCCTTCTCGATGTTGCCGCTCGAGATGACATGGAGGTTGACTGCATGGATGTGTCCTCTGTGTTTCTGCAAGGGATCCTTCGAGAGGAAATCTACATGGAGCGGCCCGAAGGATTTCCAGCTCCTTTTCCACCAGGCACTGTATGGAAGCTGAATCGACCAGTCTATGGCCTCAAGCAAGCACCCCGGGAATGGCACAACAAGCTCAAGAGCACCTTAGGGTCCCTCGACTTTCACCCATCCACCTCTGACCCCAGCCTCTTCATCCGAGCAACACCATCCCGCTTCTTCATCTTGGTTTATGTCGATGACATGATCCTTGTCACCAAGGATCAGACTGAGCTGGCAGCAGTCAAAACCGCACTTGGTGAGAAGCTGGCTATGAAGGATCTTGGGAAACTGACGAACTATCTGGGCATGGAAATCACACGTGATCGCACGGCTCGCACCATCACCCTCTCGCAGAAGTTCTACATCAACAACGTTCTGACCAGGTTTAAGATGCAGGAAGCAGCTTCAATGCCCACCCCACTCTCTCTGCAGCACCAACTCACTGCACCCTCTGTTCCCTCACCTGAGCCCTGTGATGAGGCTTACCCCGAGCTCGTCGGTTCCCTCATGTACGCGATGATGTGCACTCGACCAGATTTGGCCTATGCAGTCAGTGTCCTGTCTCGCTACGTTGCACCTGGTCGCTTCACGAGCCACCACTGGTCTGCCGCCAAGCGGGTCCTCCGCTATCTCAAAGGCACACAGGACTATGTGCTCACTCTTGGCGGCTCTTCCCCTGTTCGCCTTGAGGGGTACAGTGACTCGTCCTACGCTGATGACCAGAGTGATCGGCGCTCTTCCCAAGGATATTGCTTTACCCTTGGCAGTGGGGTTGTCAGTTGGCGCTCCACTCGGTCGTCTTCAGTCTCACTGTCGACCTGTGAGGCAGAGCTGTATGCCGGGACCATGGCTGCCCAAGAGGCCCGTTGGCTCTCCTTCTTGCTGGCAGAACTTGGGTATCCTCAACCAGCCCCAACGCTTTGGTGTGACAACGAGAGCACCATTCATCTCACAAAGGACCCCGTCTTCCACGGCCGCACCAAGCACATTGAGGTCCGTCACTACTTTCTTCGTGAGCTGGTGCAGCGCGAGCAGCTGAAGGCTGAACACATTGCCTCCGACTGCAACCTTGCTGACTTGTTTACCAAGTCTCTTGTTCGCCAAGACCACTACCGCCTCCTCTCGTCCATGGGTGTTGGGCCGCCATGTGGCTGAAGTGTTGTCAGCCTAGGGGGTGTGTTAGAAATAGTCAGTCAACACTTTGTACTATATTCTATATCGGTTAGGTTACTTTGTAGGTTGGGTGTAGATTTGTAATCCCAACCCTATCTGGTTGGGATTCCCTCGTAATCCTGCAAATCTGCCAACTCACCAATTGGAGATTTGCTAGGATTCCCATCCCATCCTTTCCCTAGCTTTGCTCAACCCACCCTGTTTGTACTTAAGGCCTAGTGCCTTCCTTATCAAGCAATCAGTTCAGTTCCAATTCTATCACATGTATGTGTGTGCATGTATGTATGTGTCTATGTGCATGTATGTGTGTGCATGTATGTATGTGTCTATGTGCATGTATGTGTGTGCATGTGTCTGCAAGAGCAAGTGATGAGATGCCACCACAAGGTGCATGTGTGTGTGGATGTTTGTGTGTCACGTGTCTTTGTCTGTGTGTGCGAATGTCCAAATTTGTTTTTTGCTGCTGGCAGGGATTCAAGTATCATTCTGTCGTGCACCCATGATGTTGACTAAGACGCCATCAGTCATCTGCAGCAAGGAGACGGGCACCCGCACGTCAACCCCCTAAATATGTCATTGTCAGATTTGTGCATGCATGGCAGCAACAGGCGCTCTGTGTGAGCTGGACGTGTTTTGAGGTGCCTGAAAAGTCGTCTCTTTCACGTCAACCCCCTATATACGTCCCTGTCAGTTCTGTGCATGCATAACAGCAGCAGGCGCTCTGTGTGAGCTGGACGTGTTGGGCCCACATACGCAAGTTGTTGTGAGACTCAATGCTCTCTTTCCTTCCTATCTCGATCTCCCATGCGCTCAACTTGCCCCCTGGTCAGATCTGTGTGTGCAACTCAGCAGCAGGCCCCTTGTGTGAGCTGGACGTTTCTGGAACCACTTACTCACCTGAGGGCTCCATCACTCTGGGCCGCTCGGTGGTGAGTGCTGTGCTGTGCTGTGCTGTGCTGCGCTGTGCTGTGCTGTGCTGTGCTGCGCTGCGCTGTGCTGTGCTGTGCTGTGCTGCGCTGTGCTGTGCTGCGCTGTGCTGTGCTGTGCTGTGCTGCGCTGTGCTGTGCTGTGCTGAAGGCCATTTCAGCCATGTCAATGGAGCATCAACACTGGATTCACCTGGACATGTGTGGAGCCACGCATGTGACAGCTCCATTACCCTTAGGTGGTCAGTGTGGGTCCATGTCTGCCGAATCAGCTCACTCAATATGCCTCTGAAATTGCAACCTCCTTCATTGTTGAGCAATCGGTGGTATTGGTGTGACTGTATGTGTGACCTCTCTGCTCAACAACAGGTGGAGCCGACATGCCGTCGGTGCAGCATGTGGCAATGTGCGTCTCCATGTGCAATGACTCCACCCTCCAATACAACGCTACCACACACTGATCTGGTCTGCCCCTTGAATGCATGCCTCGGTGATGTGTACAAATCAAGTGGAGTGGCCAGCAGACATGCCATCAGTGCAGCAGACATGCCATCAGTGCAGCACGTGGCCATGTGCGCCTCCATGTGCAACAACACTCCCGAAATTTCCACTCTCTCTCCTCCCATCTCTCCTTCCTGCTCCCCCTCCCCTCTCACCAGGTGGAGCGGCCAGCAGACATGCCTCAGTGCAGCAGACATGCCATCAGTGCAGCACGTTTCCATGTGTGCGTCCATGTGCAACGACTCCACTCTTCAATACAACTCTGCCTTGTGCTTTCTTGAGTTGAATACACCTTTTCCCCACCCTCTCTCTCCTCCTCCTCTCCTCATCTCCCCTCCCCTCTCACCAGGTGGAGAGGCCAGCAGACATGCCATCAGTGCAGCACGTGGCAATGTGTGCCTCCATGTGCAACGACTCCACCCTCCAGTACAACGCCACTACTGACACTTACGACCGCATTGGGGAGGCCACCGAGGTGGCCCTTCGGGTTCTCACAGAGAAGGTGAGAGGCTGTAGCAGAGAAGGTGAGAGGCTGTAGCAGAGAAGGTAACCAGTGAAGCAGGTGGAGAGCATAATGTGGAGGGGTAGAGGGGCAAAATTACGTCGTTTGTGCATTTTGTGCTTTGTGTGCTTTGTGCCTTCTTGTGTTTATGGATTCTGTTTCTGTCTGCACATATGCACATCCACGTATTGTGTCTGTGAGAGCACACGCGCATGTGTGGTGTGCATGTGTGTGTATTCATGTATGTCTGCTGTGCGTGCATGTGTGCACGTGTATGTGTGTATGGATGCATGTCTGTACTTGTGCATCATCGTGCATACATCTGGTCACCAGCACAGATCGGCATACCGGGTTATTCCGACATGCCCACATCCCTCGGCCTCCTCAGCAAGGCAGAAAGAGCCGCCTTTTGCAACAACCACTGGCACGAAACTTTCCACAAGGTACCTACTCCTTCATTCGTAACAGGCCTTTTTCTCCTCTGTCATCCCCCCCTGTCCTTCATCTCTTTCCTCTGACCCGCCTGCTCAGTACGTGTAGCGAGGTTGTGTTTGAGACGTCTCAAAAACAACCTCGCCTGCTCAGCCCAGGTATGTCTATCATATCATATGCTTCCCCCTTCCCTCCATCCTGCTGAGAATCAGTGGTAATGATGACCTGGTTATTTCATACCCTTGGGTTTTGTAGAAAAACAGACCCTAATGTGCACAATGTGCACAAGGAGAAGCTGGCTCTGAAATGCTGAAAGGTTCTAGAGCAGTAAGTAAATTGAAGTGCTGGATACAAGCAAAACAATGGCTAAAATAGGCAGAAAGTGAAGAGAGCTTACTTTGGAGGCGAATTGGGCTGGTCCAGGTGATGGAGGTGGTACCCAAGGGACTTGGGGTGGCCATTGGCCAACTGGGTGCTCAAGTCGCCCACAGTCAACTTGGGGACGTGAGGGACTCTCAAAGTGGGCCTGGAAGCGTATTTTGAGGAGCCTCAAAATTGGGTGCTCAAGTCGCCCACAGTCAAGATGGGGACGTGAGGGACCCTCAAAGTGGGCCTGGAAGCGCCCCCTCTAGTGGAACCGCGATTCCACGAATTGGAAACGCGAATTCCAAGCTGGAGCCGCGTTTCCAATGTTGAATTTCGTGGGTCCAGGCTGGAGCCGCACCCCCAAGGTTGGGAAGCATGCTGAGGTGCCCCAAAGCCGAATTTGGGGTGCCCAGCACCCGATAAAGTCACTCAGGGGGCACCCTATAACTAATATAACCCAACCCCTAATGTCTACACTACTATAATGTAAACGGATACATACAATTCATAAATAAACTAGTGCGAACTATAGGACCATAAGTACCTAACAACAGTTTTCCTTCCCATCCCTCCCCGCCCGCATCCCTTCCCACCGCATCCGACCTGCAGCTTGCGAGTCTGGAGTTCTCAAGGGACCGCAAGTTGATGAGTGTGCTGTGCATGAGAGGCGAGGAGGAGGTGAGTGAGTGTGTGGGGGCCGAGGAGAGGGACGGGATGGGGTGTTGGAACTTGGAAGTAAAGTGTATTTTGCACGAAGCGAAGGTGATTGCACTTTGCTATGCACTGAGGCAATCCCTCCCTCCTTCCTTGTTCCTTCCCTATCGCATCCCGTTGTCACTCACTTTCCCCCACCTCCCCACCCAACACGCCAGTCCTGCTGTTGAGTTGCCTCACAATGCTGCTTCTTTCCTCCCCACCTCCTCACCCACCCACCCACCCACCCACCCACCAGGTTCCCTTCTGCAAGGGAGCACCGGAGGATGTATTGTTGCGCAGCAGCAGAGTGCTGAGAAATGGCGGTGGCGTTGTGCCCCTGAGCTACCCCTCCTTCCTGGTTCCTTCCCCATCTTTCCCTGCTGTTGCTCACCTCCAACCTCACCTCCTCACCCACCACGCCACAGCAGATTCTTTTCTGCAAAGGAGCACCGGAGGCTGTCTTGTCACGCAGCAGCAGAGTGCTGAGTAACGGCGATGGGGATGTTGCTGCCATGACGCCTGAGATGAAGGCAGCGATCGAAGAGAGAGTGTCCAGGTGAGCGCTTGTTTTGAGAGACTGAGAGCGTACGTACACAACAAGCCTCACTATTGGCTGGCAGCAGCAGAGTGCTGACGAATGACAATGGGGCAGTGGCTGCTATGACACCTGAGATGAAGGCAGCCATTGTAGAGAGAGTGTCCAGGTGAGCGCTGGCTCTGGCGTTGTGGCGAGACGCAACGAGGCCTTTTGGCTTGCAGCAGCAGCAGCAGAGTGCTGAGCATGGGGCAGTGGCCGCGATGACACTTGAGCTGGAGGTTGCGATAGTGCAGAGCTGCAGGAAGGTGCTCGCTGAGAACATGTCCCAAGACCAGCTGCAGGAAGGTGCTCGCTGAGAACATGTCCCAAGACCAGCTGCAGGAAGGTGCTCGCTGAGAACATGTCCCAAGACCAGCTGCAGGAAGGTGCTCGCTGAGAACATGTCCCAAGACCAGCTGCAGGAAGGTGCTCGCTGAGAACATGTCCCAAGACCAGCTGCAGGAAGGTGCTCGCTGAGAACATGTCCCAAGACCAGCTGCAGGAAGGTGCTCGCTGAGAACATGTCCCAAGACCAGCTGCAGGAAGGTGCTCGCTGAGAACATGTCCCAAGACCAGCTGCAGGAAGGTGCTCGCTGAGAACATGTCCCAAGACCAGCTGCAGGAAGGTGCTCGCTGAGAACATGTCCCAAGACCAGCTGCAGGAAGGTGCTCGCTGAGAACATGTCCCAAGACCAGCTGCAGGAAGGTGCTCGCTGAGAACATGTCCCAAGACCAGCTGCAGGAAGGTGCTCGCTGAGAACATGTCCCAAGACCAGCTGCAGGAAGGTGCTCGCTGAGAACATGTCCCAAGACCAGCTGCAGGAAGGTGCTCGCTGAGAACATGTCCCAAGACCAGCTGCAGGAAGGTGCTCGCTGAGAACATGTCCCAAGACCAGCTGCAGGAAGGTGCTCGCTGAGAACATGTCCCAAGACCAGCTGCAGGAAGGTGCTCGCTGAGAACATGTCCCAAGACCAGCTGCAGGAAGGTGCTCGCTGAGAACATGTCCCAAGACCAGCTGCAGGAAGGTGCTCGCTGAGAACATGTCCCAAGACCAGCTGCAGGAAGGTGCTCGCTGAGAACATGTCCCAAGACCAGCTGCAGGAAGGTGCTCGCTGAGAACATGTCCCAAGACCAGCTGCAGGAAGGTGCTCGCTGAGAACATGTCCCAAGACCAGCTGCAGGAAGGTGCTCGCTGAGAACATGTCCCAAGACCAGCTGCAGGAAGGTGCTCGCTGAGAACATGTCCCAAGACCAGCTGCAGGAAGGTGCTCGCTGAGAACATGTCCCAAGACCAGCTGCAGGAAGGTGCTCGCTGAGAACATGTCCCAAGACCAGCTGCAGGAAGGTGCTCGCTGAGAACATGTCCCAAGACCAGCTGCAGGAAGGTGCTCGCTGAGAACATGTCCCAAGACCAGCTGCAGGAAGGTGCTCGCTGAGAACATGTCCCAAGACCAGCTGCAGGAAGGTGCTCGCTGAGAACATGTCCCAAGACCAGCTGCAGGAAGGTGCTCGCTGAGAACATGTCCCAAGACCAGCTGCAGGAAGGTGCTCGCTGAGAACATGTCCCAAGACCAGCTGCAGGAAGGTGCTCGCTGAGAACATGTCCCAAGACCAGCTGCAGGAAGGTGCTCGCTGAGAACATGTCCCAAGACCAGCTGCAGGAAGGTGCTCGCTGAGAACATGTCCCAAGACCAGCTGCAGGAAGGTGCTCGCTGAGAACATGTCCCAAGACCAGCTGCAGGAAGGTGCTCGCTGAGAACATGTCCCAAGACCAGCTGCAGGAAGGTGCTCGCTGAGAACATGTCCCAAGACCAGCTGCAGGAAGGTGCTCGCTGAGAACATGTCCCAAGACCAGCTGCAGGAAGGTGCTCGCTGAGAACATGTCCCAAGACCAGCTGCAGGAAGGTGCTCGCTGAGAACATGTCCCAAGACCAGCTGCAGGAAGGTGCTCGCTGAGAACATGTCCCAAGACCAGCTGCAGGAAGGTGCTCGCTGAGAACATGTCCCAAGACCAGCTGCAGGAAGGTGCTCGCTGAGAACATGTCCCAAGACCAGCTGCAGGAAGGTGCTCGCTGAGAACATGTCCCAAGACCAGCTGCAGGAAGGTGCTCGCTGAGAACATGTCCCAAGACCAGCTGCAGGAAGGTGCTCGCTGAGAACATGTCCCAAGACCAGCTGCAGGAAGGTGCTCGCTGAGAACATGTCCCAAGACCAGCTGCAGGAAGGTGCTCGCTGAGAACATGTCCCAAGACCAGCTGCAGGAAGGTGCTCGCTGAGAACATGTCCCAAGACCAGCTGCAGGAAGGTGCTCGCTGAGAACATGTCCCAAGACCAGCTGCAGGAAGGTGCTCGCTGAGAACATGTCCCAAGACCAGCTGCAGGAAGGTGCTCGCTGAGAACATGTCCCAAGACCAGCTGCAGGAAGGTGCTCGCTGAGAACATGTCCCAAGACCAGCTGCAGGAAGGTGCTCGCTGAGAACATGTCCCAAGACCAGCTGCAGGAAGGTGCTCGCTGAGAACATGTCCCAAGACCAGCTGCAGGAAGGTGCTCGCTGAGAACATGTCCCAAGACCAGCTGCAGGAAGGTGCTCGCTGAGAACATGTCCCAAGACCAGCTGCAGGAAGGTGCTCGCTGAGAACATGTCCCAAGACCAGCTGCAGGAAGGTGCTCGCTGAGAACATGTCCCAAGACCAGCTGCAGGAAGGTGCTCGCTGAGAACATGTCCCAAGACCAGCTGCAGGAAGGTGCTCGCTGAGAACATGTCCCAAGACCAGCTGCAGGAAGGTGCTCGCTGAGAACATGTCCCAAGACCAGCTGCAGGAAGGTGCTCGCTGAGAACATGTCCCAAGACCAGCTGCAGGAAGGTGCTCGCTGAGAACATGTCCCAAGACCAGCTGCAGGAAGGTGCTCGCTGAGAACATGTCCCAAGACCAGCTGCAGGAAGGTGCTCGCTGAGAACATGTCCCAAGACCAGCTGCAGGAAGGTGCTCGCTGAGAACATGTCCCAAGACCAGCTGCAGGAAGGTGCTCGCTGAGAACATGTCCCAAGACCAGCTGCAGGAAGGTGCTCGCTGAGAACATGTCCCAAGACCAGCTGCAGGAAGGTGCTCGCTGAGAACATGTCCCAAGACCAGCTGCAGGAAGGTGCTCGCTGAGAACATGTCCCAAGACCAGCTGCAGGAAGGTGCTCGCTGAGAACATGTCCCAAGACCAGCTGCAGGAAGGTGCTCGCTGAGAACATGTCCCAAGACCAGCTGCAGGAAGGTGCTCGCTGAGAACATGTCCCAAGACCAGCTGCAGGAAGGTGCTCGCTGAGAACATGTCCCAAGACCAGCTGCAGGAAGGTGCTCGCTGAGAACATGTCCCAAGACCAGCTGCAGGAAGGTGCTCGCTGAGAACATGTCCCAAGACCAGCTGCAGGAAGGTGCTCGCTGAGAACATGTCCCAAGACCAGCTGCAGGAAGGTGCTCGCTGAGAACATGTCCCAAGACCAGCTGCAGGAAGGTGCTCGCTGAGAACATGTCCCAAGACCAGCTGCAGGAAGGTGCTCGCTGAGAACATGTCCCAAGACCAGCTGCAGGAAGGTGCTCGCTGAGAACATGTCCCAAGACCAGCTGCAGGAAGGTGCTCGCTGAGAACATGTCCCAAGACCAGCTGCAGGAAGGTGCTCGCTGAGAACATGTCCCAAGACCAGCTGCAGGAAGGTGCTCGCTGAGAACATGTCCCAAGACCAGCTGCAGGAAGGTGCTCGCTGAGAACATGTCCCAAGACCAGCTGCAGGAAGGTGCTCGCTGAGAACATGTCCCAAGACCAGCTGCAGGAAGGTGCTCGCTGAGAACATGTCCCAAGACCAGCTGCAGGAAGGTGCTCGCTGAGAACATGTCCCAAGACCAGCTGCAGGAAGGTGCTCGCTGAGAACATGTCCCAAGACCAGCTGCAGGAAGGTGCTCGCTGAGAACATGTCCCAAGACCAGCTGCAGGAAGGTGCTCGCTGAGAACATGTCCCAAGACCAGCTGCAGGAAGGTGCTCGCTGAGAACATGTCCCAAGACCAGCTGCAGGAAGGTGCTCGCTGAGAACATGTCCCAAGACCAGCTGCAGGAAGGTGCTCGCTGAGAACATGTCCCAAGACCAGCTGCAGGAAGGTGCTCGCTGAGAACATGTCCCAAGACCAGCTGCAGGAAGGTGCTCGCTGAGAACATGTCCCAAGACCAGCTGCAGGAAGGTGCTCGCTGAGAACATGTCCCAAGACCAGCTGCAGGAAGGTGCTCGCTGAGAACATGTCCCAAGACCAGCTGCAGGAAGGTGCTCGCTGAGAACATGTCCCAAGACCAGCTGCAGGAAGGTGCTCGCTGAGAACATGTCCCAAGACCAGCTGCAGGAAGGTGCTCGCTGAGAACATGTCCCAAGACCAGCTGCAGGAAGGTGCTCGCTGAGAACATGTCCCAAGACCAGCTGCAGGAAGGTGCTCGCTGAGAACATGTCCCAAGACCAGCTGCAGGAAGGTGCTCGCTGAGAACATGTCCCAAGACCAGCTGCAGGAAGGTGCTCGCTGAGAACATGTCCCAAGACCAGCTGCAGGAAGGTGCTCGCTGAGAACATGTCCCAAGACCAGCTGCAGGAAGGTGCTCGCTGAGAACATGTCCCAAGACCAGCTGCAGGAAGGTGCTCGCTGAGAACATGTCCCAAGACCAGCTGCAGGAAGGTGCTCGCTGAGAACATGTCCCAAGACCAGCTGCAGGAAGGTGCTCGCTGAGAACATGTCCCAAGACCAGCTGCAGGAAGGTGCTCGCTGAGAACATGTCCCAAGACCAGCTGCAGGAAGGTGCTCGCTGAGAACATGTCCCAAGACCAGCTGCAGGAAGGTGCTCGCTGAGAACATGTCCCAAGACCAGCTGCAGGAAGGTGCTCGCTGAGAACATGTCCCAAGACCAGCTGCAGGAAGGTGCTCGCTGAGAACATGTCCCAAGACCAGCTG